TTTAGGCGTGTAGGGTTTTAGGGTTTCAAAGGGGCTTAGGGTTTTAGTTGTTATTTTCGGTTTAGGGTTCAGGGTTTTGGTGCAATTTCGAGTATCCATACTCCTGGCTTGTGTTGGTTATTTTGATTATGATCACCACTATTATGCTTGTTATTACTGTCACTATATATCATTATTATTACGGTCTCAACCTACTATTCTTGCTACTGCTATCATTACTGTCATTGATATTTCTCTTATTTATGACGATTATTAGTACGTTTTTGTTTTGTATTAGTATCACCCGTGGTACTCTATTACAGCTGTTGGTGATTATTATTTCTTGAGGTATTCTTATCATTACCATGGTGTGCTTTGTTGTTTGTGCATACAATGTAGCAACCCTAAACCATAAACCCGAAACTGGGGCATTTGGACGAGATTATTTTCAGTTTGGGTCCGAGCTGTCTACACAGGTGTCCAGGTTTAATATACGGAAGTTTTCGCGATTAGAGGGTTTAGGGGGTTTAGGGTTTAGGGTTGAGGGTTTAGGGTAATTTGAGGGTTTTGTGGTCTGGAGCTACGGAGTATACCTGGATTTGGAGACTCTTCTGGCTTGGAGCTACATGTGATTCGTATACAGCTTGGGTTTGTCTTGCTACTACGATTACAGACAGGAAGGCATGGGAACGCTGTCTCTAATACTCCCCTGTGATACATGAGACACGCTAAGTAGACTCCCCCCGCCCCCCGTTTCTTTGAGGGCCTGAATCAAGTATCCCTTTCATGATCGAGGGAGGCGGGGTATCTTACAATGCCTGAAGTCTTATTCTGTGATGTAAACCCTAAGCCCCAAGCCCTACACCCTAAACCCTAAGCCCGAAGCCCTAAACATCAACCCATCTGCTGATGAAGAGTAGCCAGGTCTGTCGAGATCCACAGGCGGCTGAACGTTCCTTGGCTGCAAACCCAGCGAGCCCCAATACCCCGTCAATTAATGATTTTGGCTGAGGTTCAGGGTTTAGGGTTTAGGGGCGTCATAGTACGACTTGAGCTATATTGCGTAACGTAAGAGGTGTTCAACCCAATAAAAGGCGTATAAAACCCTGAAATTAAAGCAGACAAAGATCCCGCCAATCCCGCTGCCGTCCAAGCACACTGAAACCCCAGTCACAAGTGGCTCGCTCCCGACACTCGTCCAAGATGAAGTTCTGAAGATTGCCATTGTTGTTTGGCTATGTTAGACTAAGCCTAACTATAGAACAGGTTATCAAAAAAACTGCATCCTCGGGTTTAGGTAGTCTTTTGATTTCTGGCCCTGGCAACACATGCCAAATCCAAGCTACTACTTTCGAAATTGCACCCGCCAGAGAGCCGTATAAGCAGTTGTGAAATATCTCTTCAACTGCACATGGCATAGTTTTATGATACCAGGTAGATTCTGAATTCAGGGGTATTGGGCTCTTTGGCATTGCTTTGGGCCCCCAACTCCTCATAAGCCCTTGCAAATCTCTGCGCAGTATCGACTCGGTCTAAGCACAAACAACCTTAATCCTCGCCGTCCTCTTGATGAGAGGTCCCGGAACAATTAGTATAAGTACTAAGTAGACGGATAACCCTGAACCCTAAACCCCAAACCCTAAACCCTAAACCCTAAACCTCAAAACTCCTATACCCTAAACCCTAAACCCTAAACCCTTCTTTAAGGGTCCGTGAAAACATGTCCAGGGAACAGGGCCCAGCCTATTGCCCTTAACAGGAAAGTCTGGTCCTTGATGGCTCGAATTACGAAGCGATACATGGGTGAGCTCTCTGGTTGCTTTGTATAAACAAATGAAAGCCGGCTTATATATATATATATATATGTATATATGTATATATATATATAGTTATATAGTACTGTCCACTACAGAGATGTAAGCCATAAACACCCCTCTTCCCCTAAACCCTAAACCCTATAGAAACCCCTGCGGCATGCCAAGGGATGGCTCGAGACCATCTGATTTGGCGGCAGGCGGGGTGTTCAAACAAAGTACCCTAAGGGTTTAGGGTTTAGGG